ACACTGAAAACGATTTTGCGACTTTGCTCAGTGATGTGGGAACTTGGCGCTATATTTCACATTTCAGTGTTTTTGGTTTGATTAAATTATTGAATTTATTTTTTTTATTATATTATTATTATTTTTTATGATTATTTATTATATTATAATTTATAATTTACTGTTTCAGATTTTATCCTACCCGGGATGTTTACTAGACTCTTGTTCGGACAGATTTCAGTGAGTTATTCCTAAAAATTACAGGCCTACAATAAAAAAATGACATATTTCCATGCAAAAAAATGGTACCGCTTTGAGCACAGAAAAAATGACATAATCAGACCACTAGGGGGGTTACAGTGACAAAGAGGTGACTAAAGAATAATGATTACAAAGAATAATAATTATATTAATATACATAAAGTGTAAAAGATTAAAAATTGCAAAATAAACACCAGGCATAGCACCTCTCAACCTAGTGCAAATACAGATGATTAAAAAAGGGGAATTGTGGATAATCATTTGTTAGTGATGATATATTTCAAGATAAGATATTATTAAAGAAAACAAAAGCAAACACCCAGCTGAACAAAGTAAACATATAAGTAATTGAGTGTAAACAATATAAGTGAGGAAAGTAGTTTCTTAAAATTCAAAAAATTAAGTCTGATGTGCTAAACAGATCTTCGATTTTATATAAATCCACCAATCGTTATCAGCTTTTGTGAAAAACACCGCTTGTGCTCCTCCACCAGCTAGCATGCACGCTCACCTCCATCTCTGACCTATAAACAACATACACATTATTATTACACATATTGCCAAAAGTATTTGGCCCGCCCTCTAAATCATGTGATTCAGGTGTTCCAATCCCCTCCATGGACACAGGTGTATACAATCAAGCCCCTAGGCATGCAGACTGCTTCTACAAACATTGGGGAAAGAATGGCTCGCTCTCAGGAGCTCAGTGACTCCAAGCGTGGTCCCGTGATAGGTTGTCCACCTGTGCAATAAGTCCATCTGTGACATTTCCTGGCTACTAAATATTCCACGTTCAACTGTTAGTGGGATTATAACAAAGTGGAAGCAACTGGGAACAACAGCAACTCAGCCACCAAGTGGTAGGCCACGTCACATGACAGAGCGGGGTCAGCGCATGCTGAAGCGCACAGTGCGCAGAAGTCACCAACTGTCTGCAGAGTCAATAGCTAAAGACCTCCAAACTTGGTGTGGCCTTCAGATGAGCCCAACAACAGTGTGTAGAGAGCTTCATGGAATGGGTTTCGATGGTCCGAGCAGCTGCATCCAAGCCTTACATCACCAAGTGCAATGCAAAGCGTCGGATGCCGTGGTGTAAAGCACGCCGCCACTGGACTCTAGAGCAGTGGAGACGTGTTCTCTGGAGTGACCAATCACGCTTCACTATCTGGCAATCCAATGGATGTGTCTGGGTTGGGCGGTTGCCAGGAGAACAGTACTTGCCTGACTGCATTGTGCCAAGTGTAAAGTTTGGTGTTGAGGGTTTTATGGTTTGAGGTTGTTGTTCAGGGGTTGGGCTTGGCCCCCTAGTTCCAGTGAAGGGAACTCTTAAGGCGTCAGCATACCAAGTTATTTTTGGACAATTTCATGCTCCCAACTTTGTGGGAACCGTTTGGGGATGGCCCCTTCCTGTTTCAACATGACTGCACACCAGCGCACAAAGCAAGGTCCATAAAGACATGGAGGAGCCAGTTTGGGGTGGAGGAACTTGACTGGCCTGCACGTATGGACTTATTGCACAGGTGGCCACCTATCACGGGACCACGCTTGGAGTCACTGAGCTCCTGAGAGCGACCCATTCTTTTACCAAAGGTGTGAATGGGGAGAAGGTATGTTAAATTTGGTGTTATCGGTCTCACTCTCTCATACTGGTCACTGGAAGTTCAACATGGCACCTCATGGCAAAGAACTCTCTGAGGATCTGAAAAAAAGAATTGTTGCGCAATATAAAGATGGCCTAGGCTATAAAAAGATTGCAAAGACCCTGAAACTGAGCTGCAGCATGGTGGCCAAAGACCATACAGCGGTTTAACAGGACAGGTTGAGTTGGACAATTTCATGCTCCCAACTTTGTGGGAAGGGTTTGGGGATGGCCCATTCCTGTTCCAACATGACTGCACACCAGTGCACAAAGCAAGGTCCATAAAGACATGGAGGAGCCAGTTTGGGGTGGAGGAACTTGACTGGCCTGCACAGAGTCCTGACCTCAACCCCATAGAACACCTTTGGGATGAATTAGAGCGGAGACTGTGAGCCAGGCCTCCTCCCCCGACATCAGTGCCTGACCTGACAAATGTGCTTCTGGAAGAATGGTCCAACCTTCCCATAGACACCCTCCTAAACCTTGTGGACGGCCTTCCCAGAAGAGTTGAAGCTGTTATAGCTGCAAAGGGTGGGGCCAACTCAATATTGAACCCTACGGACTAAGACTGGGGGGCCATTAAAGTTCATGTGCGTGGAAAGGCCGGCCAACCAATACTTTTGGCAATTTAGTGTAGGTCACAAACACTTTTGGACAGTCAATTGCCAAACAGCTCTCTGGGATGTCTCCTCATCTGCATTGCATCAAATGACTCTTCTCAAACATTCCATCAAATTGGGTCAGCAGACCCATATGAGCATGTATAGCGATGCACATAGGGATGGGTGTACCAAGATGGTAGCTGCCGTCCAAAACCAGAAATGACGTCTTCACGCTTAAGCCCTGCCATTTTTTTTTTGCTAATTATTAATGTTTTGCACTACATTTTTTTCACTTTTATGCTTTATGTATATTATTATGATTATTATTCTTTATGATCATTATTCTTTAGTCACCTCTGTGTCACTTTCGAGGTCTCAGCTGGATATTTACATTTATCTTATACTTAATGATGGTTTTACATGTTTTCATATTATTTGACCTATTTTAGGTATTTATGAGTAGCACAGCATCGTTTTGGTTGATTTATTTGGTTTAGGGGAACACAATTAGGTGCTTTCTGCAACTTGCACTGTTAGGTTAGGTAGTGGCAGCACAGGAGGATTTTTATCAGTCTTGCAAAGGGGTGGTATAGTTACAAATAAATAAATAAAATGGCGTGGGGTTCCCTCATAATTTTTACCCGGCCCTTTAGGTCTGGTATGAATTTTAGGTGGAACCTTATACACAAAAAAAGAAAAAAAAAAAGCACAGGGTCCCCCCAAATTCCAATAATGTCATTGGGATCCCCGTGACATCATTAACCAAATATGGTCTTTTGTATATGTGGTCAGTGCTTTCACCCAGTAGACTCCGCCTCTTTATTTATATCCGCTGCTGTCCACTGGAGCTGTTAAAAGTGGATAAATAGTTATCAGGATAAGATCAGGTTGGCAGGTACTTTTCTTTTGGCAGGCGTTGGTATTGTGATTGATGTGGGTCTACATCGCTGGACGACATGGTAGGGGTACCGATCGCTGTACAGGACCTCTGTGCGAGGTCCCGATCATGTGATCACTGATTGGCCAATCAGTGATCACATGCAGAGTAGTAAGCAAGATGTCACTTCTGACATCATTGCTTACCACGTGTAAAATCTGTGAATGATCACAGAGGTCACATGGTACAAGGCTATTCACAACAGCTTTGTACCATGTGACAAGCTGTGACCAATCACAGCTCACACAGTATTTCTCAATGGCTGCAAGAATGCAGCCAGAAAGAAGGAGAAATGATTGCTTTTACAGCCTTTATGGGTGTAAAAGCAATCAGTGTAAAAAAAAAAAATCTTCACCACCCACCACAAGTAGAACAGTGTCACTATGGTGACACTGTACCGCTAGGGTGGCAGTATGTAAAAAAAAAAATAATATAAAAATGTAAAAAACAAATTTGAAAAATTATAATTTTTTCACATTTTTTTTTTTTTCAAAATTTTGGGAATTTTTCATTTTAATAGCAAAAAAAATAAAAAAAAAACAGTGGTGAATAAATACCACCAAAATAAAGTTTTATCTGTCTCAAATAAATTCTAAAAAACTCATATGGGTACAGTGTTGCATGACCGCGCAATTGTCATTCAAAGTGTGATAGCGCTGAAAGCTGAAAATTGGCCTGGGCAGGAAGGGGGTGAAAGTGTCCGGACTGGAAGTGGTTAATAGAATTCTCAGCCACTTTTTACACAAATAGAATGAATCTGCAGGGAACTGTCATTTTACCAGCAATGTAAACACACTTCTTGCTTTGTAAATATCAGCATTGCTGCAGTAGGTTGTATAGATTGTACAGACACTTCATAGGCCAGGTCGGGGCACCCTCCAGGCATGTTATCGAGTGGAGTTTTGCATTTTTAATGTATAACTTTCAGCATTACTGAAATCACTGCTCCCCACCAAATCAAATGTATTAAAAATGTCTTTGCTTTGGTACATGTACCCCCCCCCCAAGGCTGCGCCCAGCCCCCCATTTCTTTTGTTTGACAATCCTCTGCCTCCTAGTTTGTAAGCTCTAACGAGCCGGGCCCTCTGTTTCCTCTGGTACCAAATTGTATTGTAACTGTAATGTCTGCCTTCATTTTGTAAAGCGCTGAGCAAACTGTTGGCGCTATATAAATCCTGTATAATAATAACAAAAATGATCCTAAAAAATCGCCAGAACTGATTTGTAACATTTGGCTCCCGTTGACTTCAATGGGATTCAGTTTCGACATCTGAAACGGATTCATGTTCACCAAGGTCAGGGGTGTTCATCTCACCACTACTACTGATCATGGTTTTATATTTTGTTCCAGGACACACCATGGAGAAACCCTCAAAGGATCGTCTCACTTTATCTCCAGGATGTAAAATAGAAGATGAGGACATCACAGAAGATTGTGCCGGAGAAATGACAATAAGCTCCGCTATGGATGGTGGACTTCACAGTGTGGATGGACCATCAAATCCCTCTGACTCCGAGCAACCTCATATTGGGAAGGATGGTGTTGGAATTCAGGTGGAGGAGGAATTTTCCTGCCCTGAATGCGGGGAAACTTTTAACTCTGATGTAAGTCTTACTGTACATCAGAGATCTCACACGGGTGAGAAGCTTCATTCCTGTTCTGAATGCTGGAAATGTTTTACACGGAAATCAGAACTTATAAGACATCAGAGATCTCACACGGGAGAGAAGCCGTATTCCTGTCCCGAGTGTGGAAACTCTTATGCACGGAAATCAGACCTTGCTATACACAAAAGAACTCACACAGGCGAGAAGCCGTATTCCTGTCCGACGTGCGGGAAATGTTTTACACAGAAAGCCCATCTTACCACACATCAGAGGTCTCACACGGTGGAAAAACCATATTCATGCCCTGAGTGCGCAAAATGTTTTTCACAGAGACCAGACCTTGTTGTACATCAGAGATTGCACACGGGGGAGAAGCCGTTTTCCTGCCCTGAGTGCGGGAAATGTTTTCCTTGGAAATCAGACCTTGTTACCCATCAAAGAACCCATACAGGAGAGAGACCGTATTTCATGTCCTGAGTGTGGAAAATCCTTTTCGCAGAAGTCTAGTCTTACTAGACATCAGATATGCCACTCACAGGAAAAGCCATATTCTTGCCATGAGTGCGGGAAATGTTTTACAAGGAAGACCTATCTTAATGAACATCAGAGAAACCACCAAAAAGAATGTTTCTTTCTTACTATAGTATAGAATAATCCTAATAATCCAGCATCTCTCATCTCAGTTGACTGTGGCCCCAGACAAAAAAATTATTCATGTCTATGTATTTGTGTTGTGCTTGAGGGAGATCTGTGTAAGACTTGAAATGTTATTTATGGAGGATTTTATATGCTGCATTGCCATTATATGGATAAGGCTGGATATGCCATGTATTTATTTCTCTACAGAGGATATCACTCCTGAATGAAGGAATGGAAGAGCCATACTAAGAAAAAACCTGTTAATGTTCCTCCAAAGAATAGAATTATTATTGTTATTATTATACAGTATTTATAAAAAGCGCCAATAGTTCGCTCAGCGCTGTACATTACAGAGGGCGACAGAACATGTGACAGAACAATAACAATACAATGCAAAACATGAGAGGATTGAGGGCCCTGCTCTTTGGAGCTTACAATCTAGGAGGGAGGGGATGGTGGCACAGGAGGAGATAGCTGTGGGGGATGGGAGTGGTAGGAAGAGTGGAGGAGGTCGGCAAGTTAGCAAGGGGTGGGGTAGGCTTCCCTGAAGAGATGGGTTTTCAGGGTGCGCCTAAAGGAGAGGAGAGTAGGTGATAATCTGATGGGTTGGGGCAGGGAGTTCCAGAGGATGGGTGACACCCTGGAGAAGTCCTGGAGGTGGACATGGGAGGAGGAGACCAGGGAACTAGAGAGAAGGAGGTCTTGTGAGGAGCGGAGTGTGCGTGTTGGGCGGTACTTGGATATTAGGTCAGTGATGTAGTTCGGGGCAGTATGGTGGACGGCTTTGTACGTCAGTGTTAGGATTTTGAATTTGATCCGTTGCGCAATCGGAAGCCAGTGGAGGGATTGGCAGAGGGGGGTGGTGTAGATGGAGAAGAGAAGGGGCCCGAGGACGGAGCCTTGAGGGACCCCAACAGAGAGGGGGAGTGAGGGGGAGGTGGTAGCATTATAGGTAACGCTGAAAGAGCGTTGTGACAGGTAGGATGAGAGCCAGGAGAGAGCAGAATCTCTGAGGCCGAGGGAATGTAGTTTTTTGAGGAGGAGGGGGCGGTCGACTGTGTCAAAGGCCGCAGAGAGGTCAAGGAGTAGGAGCACTGAATAGTGGCCATAGTGGCAATAGATTGGTGCGACTCTTTGTAGTATGTAGACCAACCCGCAGAAAAACAAGCCCAAGATAATAATTTGCTCCAAGCTTTAGTAAATCGAGTTCATGTTGTATATTATGCTCAGCTGAGATATTTCGATCAATGACTTGAGCTGTATACAGTTCTTACTCGCAAACCTTTTTCCATGCGTCTTTGTTGAGTTGTCTCTATGCTGACATATTTTTGGAGGAAAGGTGTACAGTAAATGTTTCCCTTTACAAGTTTTTGATGGTCAACCCTCAGATGAGAAGTTCCTCCAGAAAGGTGAGCAGAACATGGACTTCTCAACCACTTGAGACCCACAGCACTAGAGAGGTGGACATTCTACAGCTTTTTCCTCTATGCAGTGGATATAGACAGCTGCTAATGCATAAAAATTATATTTCAGGGCAAAAATGACCAGAAAAAAAAATCTAAATTCTAAAATCAAATTGTACCACACTCACCTTGGTCAGAGGTCACCTAGGATGTGGTGGTGGCAACCTCATAACCTTTAATGGAGATTCCACTCAGGCCACATTCCCAGGAGTTTGAGAGATGGTATAAGTATAGAAGGGTATTACATGCGTCCCAATTAACAATGCATGGACTGGGTTTGACAGCTGATTGGGCTAGCTGGGTGTGTGTTGACAGCTGAGCAGGCTAGTTGGGCCTAGCTTGAAAGATGAGTGGGTTAGCTGGGCTTGAACTTGACAGGTGTGTGGGCTAGCTGTCTTTTGGCTTGACAGCTAAGTGGCCTTGTCAGGGATCCGGGTGTGACCAGAAATGTGTGGACTGACACAGGGAAGTAGCAGGCTTCAGGAACACAGGCGTAGTCAGGGCTGGAGAGGTGGAATGGTCAGGCGGGCCGTAAGGCACTGTCAGGCACCGCCCAGCGGGATCTCTAGTGACCCACAGAACAGGATTCCCCAGGGCACGGAGTCTAAGCCCCAGTCTGCCTTTTCACCAGAGCCCCTGATGGTGGGGATGGACTTGCCGCAGGACTGAGGCCGCGGCCCCTGAGTGCACCCAACTGTGGTAGAGGGGTCCGCCGAGGGTATGTACCGGGGAAAGCCTGATGTGAAGGGGCTGGCAGGTTTGGACAGTAGTGACTGGATCTGTGCAGGATGGATGGATCGTCTGGGTAGCATCAGGCGTAGTCAGAAGGCCAGGTCAGCAACATGTGGGCAGTGAGGTACAGGAGGAGCAGGCAGAGAATAGTCAGGGTCACAAGCCGGGTTCAGTAACTCACGGGCAGCGCGGTACAGATGATCAGGCAGAAGGATGGTCAGGCAAGCCAGGGGTTCAACAGGAGACGGTCAGGATCAAAGCAGGGTCAGCAACTAGGCAGGAACACAGGATACCAGGTACAGGGGCTCATGGGAAACATACACCAAGGCCCTGACTGCAGGTCTGACCATTCCTTAAATACACCTCCTGCAATCAGCCCCAGGTGTTGGCTGATTGCAGGAGTTAGCTTCTGGCTGCTGAGAGCACCCGCTGGTCAGCCCTGGTACTGCAGCCCACACGGCAGGTGAGTCCCACCACCAGTGCTGAGTCCATTCCTGACAGGACTACTTAGGCCTGGGCTGGACAGGTATGTGAGTTGGTTAGGACTGGGCTTGAAAGCTGAGTGGAATAACTTGCCAAGGGCTTAACAGATAAGTAGGCTAACTTAGCCCGGCTTGACTGATGAATGGGCTAGTTAGGCTAGGACTTGACAGGTAGCCAAGTACCTGCTTGATAGCTAAGTGGACAACTTAGGCATGGGCTTGACATGTAAGTTAGGACTGGGCTAGTTGGGACTGAGCTTGAAAGCTTACTTGGCCAACTTTATCTGGGCTTCACAGATAAATGGGCTAGTTGGGACTGGGCTTGAAAGCTGACATGGCCAACTTTATCTGGGCTTCACAGATAAATGGGCTAGTTAGGACTGAGCTTGAAAGCTTACTTGGCCAACTTTATCTGGGCTTCACAGATAAATGGGCTAGTTGGGACTGGGCTTGAAAGTTTACTTGGCCAACTTTATCTGGGCTTCACAGATAAATGGGCTAGTTGGGACTGGGCTTGAAAGCTGACATGGCCAACTTTATCTGGGCTTCACAGATAAATGGGCTAGTTAGGACTGAGCTTGAAAGCTTACTTGGCCAACTTTATCTGGGCTTCACAGATAAATGGGCTAGTTGGGACTGGGCTTGAAAGTTTACTTGGCCAACTTTATCTGGGCTTCACAGATAAATGGGCTAGTTGGGACTGGGCTTGAAAGCTGACATGGCCAACTTTATCTGGGCTTCACAGATAAATGGGCTAGTTGGGACTGGGCTTGAAGGCTGACATGGCCAACTTTATCTGGGCTTCACAAATAAATGGGCTAGTTGGGTCTGGCCTCAACAGCTAGCTGGGCCTGAGTATGAAAAATTGGGGTCTAGCTAAGTCTTACCTCAAGAACTTGGATGGGCAAGAACTTGGATGGTCCCTGGAAGCTGACCACTGGGAGTGTCCCGGGAAGCTGTCCATTGCTGAGTGTCCCTGGAGCTGTCCGTTGCTGAGTGTCCCTGGAAACTCCATTGCCGAGTGTCCCTGGAAGCTGTCCATTGCCGAGTGTCCCTGGAAGCTGTCCGTTGCCGAGTGTCCCTGGAAGCTGTCCATTGCCAAGTGCCCCTGAAAGCTGTCTGTTGCCGAGTGTCCCTGGAAGCTGACCACTGGGAGTGTCCCTGGAAGCTGTCCATTGCTGAGTGTCCCTGGAAGCTGTCCATTGCCGAGTGTCCCTGGAAGCTGACCACTGGGAGTGTCCCCGGAAGCTCTCCATTGCTGAGTGTCCCCAGAAGCTGACCGCTGGGAGTGTCCCTGGAAGCTGTCCATAGCCGAGTGTCCCTGGAAGCTGTCCGTTGCTGAGTGTCCCTGGAATCTGACTGCTGGGAATGTCCCTGGAAGCTGTCCGTTGCTGAGTGTCCCTGGAAGCTGTCCACTGCTGAGTGCCCCTGGTAGCTGCTGCTGAGTGACCCCGCATGCTGCCTGCTATGAGTGTCCCTGGAAGCTGCTGAGTGCCCCTGGGAGCTGCTGCTGAGTGTCCCTGCACACTGTCTGCTACTGGGTGCTCCTGGAAGCTGCCGCTGAGGGTCCTTGCATGCTGCCTGCTGTGAGTGTCCCTGGAAGCTGCCCCCTGCTGAGTGTCCCTAGAAGCCATCTGCCGTGAGTGTCCCTACAAACCGCATGTTGTGGAGTGCCCCTGCAGTCCCCTACAGGGTGCCCAGATAATCGTTGCCTGAACTGCCCCTACTGTGTGTCCGGATTATCCTTGCCTGAACTGCTCCTATCATGTGCCCAGACTATTTTTGCCTGACTTGCCCCTAATTGTGGGCCCGGACTACCTTGGCCTGAACTGCCCCCAAATTGTGTGCCCGGACTACCTTGGCCTGAACTGCCCCCCTATTGTGTGCCCGGACTACCTTGGCCTGAATTGCCCCCCTATTGTGTGCCCGGACTACCTTGGCCTAAACTGCCCCCCTATTGTGTGCCCGGACTACCTTGGCCTAAACTGCCCCCCTATTGTGTGCCCGGACTACCTTGGCCTAAACTGCCCCCCTATTGTGTGCCCGGACTACCTTGGCCTGAACTGCCACCCTATTGTGTGCCCGGACTACCTTGGCCTGAACTGCCCCCCTATTGTGTGCCCGGACTACCTTGG